TGTTGTAGTAGACGCTTCAGTTGTAGTTGAAGGCTCTGTTGTAGTAGACGCTTCAGTTGTAGTTGAAGGCTCTGTTGTAGTAGGCGCAAGAATACATTTCAGCCATGATGAAAATGCTGCAGTTTTTGTGCATTCATACGATATCTGCTCTATTATAGCCATTTATCAAAGTAGCCTGTGTAGCATATACAATGTATACACGCTAGAAATGACTTCAAGTTACTTGAATAAAGCTTTGACTCTAACAACTATAAAACTGTACAACTATATAGTGAAAGTTCTGACTATTCGCTGAAAAAGCGAAAAATCGTTCACTACTCAGGTGGCTGATTGGAAAGGTTCTGTTGAAGCAAACAAAAGAGAGATATCAAGATATTGGACTTTATTGTGCTTTCGTCTGGATCAAAGTATAGTGTAACACTCTTGAGGAGTTTGGGCACGGGAAAAATGCACCTATACGTTGTATAAACTAGGAATTTACCTGAACGAAGCTTTGATTCTCACAAACAACTTTACAACTATATATAGAGAACTGAATATTCGCTGAGAACCTGTCCGCCAGACATAAATATATCACTAAAGAAGGAAGAACTCATCGGCTCAATGACCACAACATTTTACCGCATTATCAGAATAGCTGAATGCTCANTAGCAGTCTATACAATGTATACACGCTAGAAATGACTTCAAGTTACTTGAATAAAGCTTTGACTCTAACAACTATAAAACTGTACAACTATATAGTGAAAGTTCTGACTATTCGCTGAAAAAGCGAAAAATCGTTCACTACTCAGGTGGCTGATTGGAAAGGTTCTGTTGAAGCAAACAAAAGAGAGATATCAAGATATTGGACTTTATTGTGCTTTCGTCTGGATCAAAGTAGCCTGTGTAGCAGTCTATACAATGTATACACGCTAGAAATGACTTCAAGTTACTTGAATAAAGCTTTGACTCTAACAACTATAAAACTGTACAACTATATAGTGAAAGTTCTGACTATTCGCTGAAAAAGCGAAAAATCGTTCACTACTCAGGTGGCTGATTGGAAAGGTTCTGTTGAAGCAAACAAAAGAGAGATATCAAGATATTGGACTTTATTGTGCTTTCGTCTGGATCAAAGTAGCCTGTGTAGCAGTCTATACAATGTATACACGCTAGAAATGACTTCAAGTTACTTGAATAAAGCTTTGACTCTAACAACTATAAAACTGTACAACTATATAGTGAAAGTTCTGACTATTCGCTGAAAAAGCGAAAAATCGTTCACTACTCAGGTGGCTGATTGGAAAGGTTCTGTTGAAGCAAACAAAAGAGAGATATCAAGATATTGGACTTTATTGTGCTTTCGTCTGGATCAAAGTATAGTGTAACACTCTTGAGGAGTTTGGGCACGGGAAAAATGCACCTATACGTTGTATAAACTAGGAATTTACCTGAACGAAGCTTTGATTCTCACAAACAACTTTACAACTATATATAGAGAACTGAATATTCGCTGAGAACCTGTCCGCCAGACATAAATATATCACTAAAGAAGGAAGAACTCATCGGCTCAATGACCACAACATTTTACCGCATTATCAGAATAGCTGAATGCTCACCAAGAATAGCCTAGCGCTAGAAATCTGATCATGCATTTTCAACAGAAGGTGAATATACTCATTTCACCATAGTCAAAGTGTTTTACTTTAAATTATACAATCGTACGAATTCTGCTCTAAATACGGAATCCCCACGGAATATGTACTCATTGACCGATTGGCCGGAGAGGGTCATAAGGGAAAGTATTTGGCTCGAGGTTTTGCTGTCGTACAAAATTAAGAATTTGACTTTTTAACCTATGGATTAAAACAGATTGCGAATGGATATTCGAAGTCACCTTATTGGCCATAGTGAAAAATCTAAAACGCAACCGCATTGAATGCTGGTGGACCATGTCTCTTTGATCACAAATGACAGGAGCAAATAGTTTCCCGTACGACGCGAACTCAGTCATCAATAAGCATTTTATCATATGAGAGCGTTTTTTAAACATTTTGTTGAAGAAAAGACTGTGTAAAACAAGTAATTAAAAGCGCGCGTTAACAACAACCAATGAAAGCGTTCTTCTTATTTGATTGATGTCAAGAAGCCAGTTCACAGTCGAAGGAAAATTCAAGTCAACATGACTCAAATTAATGTTTATGAATCCAAGGCATTTTTTCCATACAATTTTCACTGAATTATGGAATTTAAGATATTTGACAAATGATAAAGTTAGCAATATACACTAGTTTTCAAACGTATCAAGTAATTATTCAAATTGTTAAAAAGTTGTCAAGATGTCAAATAATGATCAGTTGAACCATAAGAGAGATATCAAGATATTGGACTTGGTTGTGCTTTCGTCTGGATCGGGCCCGAGAAGAAAAGCAACTATACGTTGTATACACTAGGAATGGACTCAAGTTACCTGAATGAAGCTTCGATTCTCACAAACAACTGTACAACTATTAATGAACTAGGTCTAAATATTTGCTGAACCTGTCCGCCAGACATAAATATATCTCAAGAAGGAAAAACGCCTCGACTCAATAATCACTAAGTACTATACTGTCTTTTTACCGCATTATTAGAATAACTGAATGTTCACCAAGAATAGCCTACATAGCGCTAGAAATCTGATGCATTTTCAATAAAAGATGAATATACTCATTTCACCATAGTCAAAGTGCCGTACTTTTTATACAATCCAGTAGTACGAATTCTGCTCTAAACAGGGAATTTCACGGAATTGAGTATCAGTACACAAATTTTCGCATAATATTTGTAACCAAATATCAAACTATATTAAAAGTGAATAATATTATCCTTTAATCAAGCTTGAATCGTTTGATTGAAAAGAAGTATTAAGCCAAATAAAAAGTTAATCAAATAATTTATTTAAAGTTATCAAGATGATGAATGCTAATAAACTAAACTAAAAAGTAAACAGCATTCTACTCATTCACCCAAACTGATAATGTTTGACAGAAAAGTAATGTTCAGTTGAGGCATAAGAGATATGTCAAGGATTTGGACTTAATCATATAATATATTATTTCTCTCTTTCGAAAAGTTATATATGTTGGAAGTAGAAACTGAGATATTTTATGACAAAATTTGCTTTCATATATAATTATATGATAAATAGAATATTACATGAACGCTTGGAGATACGAATTTTTTCTTTTTGTGTGCTCGCTGCACTCGGTCCTTACTGTTAAGACCTTGGTCTGATTTTTTCCAATTAATAACCTTTTATTATTCTAGATCGAAATAGCTTGTGTGGCGTCCCTGAGGGGGTTGGGGAGGGACCGAAGGGAAAAGCACCTACACATTACACACAAACTAAAACCCCAATGACTTGCCTGGGTGAAGCTTCAATCTGTCTGGTATAACTGCGAAGTAGAATTGAGTTGGCTTGAAGCGGAAAGATACATATATATATGCAAGAGTAGAAACGACTAACCTCATTGAGTTCTTCAGAATTTTACCGCATTCTCGGAATAGCGGAATTTCTACCCAGAATAGCGCAGAGCTGTGATGCATAATGATATAAGACATCTGGAAAAGCTGCATGGGAAGTAGATTACTTGGCAGCGGGAATCCTGTGTTAAACAAAAAGTTCCTGGAAGGGGGGGTTGGAGGATGGGGGGTGTTAGGAAGGAGGTATTGGCTATTTCGCAAGAATCAGACCTACTTTCTCAAACATTATCGAAATTTTAATTCTATGCTTTAGCAATATTTTTAGCTCTAAGGTTAGACTTAGGATTAATTGCATAGGCACAATTGAACTTTAGGAGTCCGCCCCTTCAGCGGTAAAATATTGAAGTGATCTCCCCTAATAGGTAAAAATAACTCTAGTGATCCCCCTTCTTATATATATAGCTCGTAATTTAATATGTGATAATGACTTTATGACTGTGCAATAATAACTAATGATGTGAATGATAATTATACTCACAGAGTCGGATTCAGTTGCAAATGGTTTACCTCTTCTTTATATTATCAAAGCCTGTACTACCCTCGTGAACCCCTCAATGTAAAGGCTGGTAGTACGTAGTAGTAATATTTTGCAACCAAGAATGGACCAAAGCTGGTCATTGACATTTTGTGAATGCAGTTTCTGTCAAAATTTTCATATAATTTACATTTCATTGAACATTAGGTTTGATATTAATATATTTTTTACTTTGAATATGTAATGTATACAGAACGAGAGAGCGTGTTGTATCGGGTGATAAAGATCCGAGCCGAAGGCGAGGATCTTTAGCCCCGATACAACACGCTCTCGAGTTCTGTATACGGCTTATCAAACTTTATAATAATTCTCATCTTAATATTTTTGAAAAATTGAATATCTTGCTTATTATCAACTTATATCGCCGTTATTAAATATTCCGGCGTCAAATATAACTTTTGTATGGCGCCTTCATGAAACGACTGAACTATCAAGGGAATTTCTAAACGATTAATTGAAAGCGGCATTGTCACATTAGAAGCTTTTTTTACTTTCTCCTGAAAATTGTTTATTTTCCTATTGTTTTTTTAAAGAATGTGCTTGCCAAACTATAGAAAATTAGAATTGTCAAAGGAATTGCAAGATATTAGGCATTCATAGTTAGCAAAAATTAAATCAGTTGTCTTCCATTTCTCCCTCGAAGACATGTCGAGTCGATTTATGAGACCTAAAACTCAACATAAAGGAAAGCGCTATTGCTTGGGCGAGTGTTCCACAAAGTATTCAACAAAATGGTCCGCAACCTTATTTTTCGACCGGCAAAAAGACCGTGCGAACAAGAAAGCCATAAATGGGGGCACCAGTTTCAGTTTCAAAAACAGCGAGTCATTCCAGGATATGCTGACGCTGGTCTTGATGACATGAACGCCGAGTCGTTGATTTTTTGGATCGTCAAATTCATACAAGACGAGGCGCCAAGAAAAACAGAGAAGCTTATCCGACGATCGAGTAAATCGCGAGGAAACGAAACGGCATTGCTACAATATTGATTTTTCAGTTTGTTTTAATTGTGTTTGATTGCACGCGAGTTTAGACATTTTGAATATTTTCAGGGGAGTGCGGGGCTGATTATTACTCAATGTTTTCCTGATACAGACCTAATTAATAAAACATTAGTTCTGTATCACTGATACAGAACTAATGTTTTATTAATTAGGTCTGTATCAGGAAAACGTTGAATGATAATCAGCCCCGCACTCCCCTGAAAATATTCAAAGCCGCCCCCAACTTTGAGCTTGCTGCACCTTTTATCCAATATAAAGGTATAATCACGTGATTAGATTCTCAGTATATCATTGGCTAATGACATTATGAATTATTAATGAGTTTGATAAGTAGAATTACTAAATAAGGGAATGATTCGACACTGTCTAAAAAGTATGTATTTTATCACCTATTCTGAAACTGGTAGTATGTTGTAATTATATTGCGCAGTAAAAAATCTTTCTAGAATTTAAGTGATCTCCCCCGTTTTACGTTGTTATTTTCGACTGATCCCTCCTTTTATGTTCCCGAAAATCGACTGAATCCCCACCCCACCCCGGGCGATAAATAATTACCGGTCCCTTATGTAGGGGAAGTAGAAGGGTTTTACTAAAAACGCTTAAAATGGCAATATTCCTGAGCGAGACGGTAAATGTACTTTATTTCTATTAATCTAAGATTTATTTACAAAATTTTGGAAATGAAACTATGATATCATTGTATGCCACATTTATAATATTCATTAATAATTCATAAGTTACACAGCCATTCAGTGACCGTTATTGTAGTCACATGACTACCCTTGTATTCACCAATWCAAACTTRAAGMGCGGGRAGGGCTTGAATTCAGAGCAGGGAAAGGGTGGGGTTGATGAATAATATTAATAGAGAATGAGATCTATTAGTATTCTATATACAAATACTAGATCTTGATTCTTCACTTGGGAAAGCGCGCGCTCCGTCTAAATGATAGTTTGATTAAAACAAACAAACATAAAAATCCCAATCCTACGGTGTAACCAACGTGCCAAAAGGATGTATGGCAGTGGGGATCCTAAGCACTGTTCTTAACGTAGGCCATGGCGAGGAAGCTTTCTTATGGGTTGTGCATTCACCCATAAGTGACCATCTATTTATGCACATTAAAAACACTAACAATGATTACCAATTCAAAATCATCATATCAGCGCAGTGACAAAGATGCGACGAATGATCTTGAGAATATTCAAAAGAGAAGGAACCGCCGAGGATCTCGAGNGCAACGGACGGATCGGTACGAGAGGACGTAACAGCATGGGCGGGGCTTGTATGGAAAAATAACCGGTGCATTTATAAGTGGTGTGCAGGAAAACATGGTAGGACTAGTTCCTTTCGTGCAGAGATGGAAGGAGTAGAGGATGCTCTATTTTGGATGTCAAATAATACCTCTGTCCAAGATACTACACTGCTCCTAACGGACTCTAAAAGTTTGGTAGCACAATTGCAATCTGGAATGGTAAAAAATACATGGCTGAAACTGCTGAGGAAAATTAAATCTTCAATACGAATCGCCTACATCCCAGGTCATGCGGGAATCACGTATAATGAGGCAGCCGACCATCTGGCGGGAATGGCAGAACCATTCGGACACATCACTTTTTACCAGCAAGATATTACAAATCGACTGAAAGAAAACTTGAATAATGACAACGCACCAAAGAAGACCTGGTGGTCGTTTCAAAGAATGAAAGAAAGGGCAATTAAATTTGGAGATGGAGGACGAAAGACAACCCGACTAAGTAACACTAAGACTGAAACCCAGGAAATCATGGGGTTGATAACTAAGAACACTTTGACTAATATTACTAAATAATAATAATAAATAATAATAATAGATCTATTAGTATTCTGTATTTTTAATAGATCGATTAGTATTCTGTATTTTGATATAGAATACTATTAGATCTGTTAGCCTGCTATTGAAAAAAATATAAAATGCTGATAGACATCGATCTAGCAAAATGAATAGTCAAAATTGCACGTATTTACATTTACGATCATTTTTCTTGAGAAGGTTAAATGAATTTTCTGCCTCTACGTTTTGTAGAAGCCTGTTAAGGCCGGGAACAATCACAAATATATAGATTTTGATAAATATTGTACGCCACTTTTGTTGGCAATAACTCTCCGACGAACTTTTGTTAACCAAGAATATTTAGAGAGTTCAACGTCGTTGGTTTCATTTCCTTCAGCTTCTTGTCAAGATTTTGCACATTATSGATATCACAGCCAAACCCGGCCAACGCTCTCGTTTGTTACTGAGTGTTAATTTTCTTCCCTTGCTTGTTGCCACTCGTAAAAAATTCACTCCATTTTATGGTATGTTTGATGTTACTATAAGAATCCTGCAGCCAATTTTCGTCTTCGTTCTTGTCTTTYGGTTTTCTAAAGTTAGCCATAATTCTCGAGCTTGTTCTGAGTGCATGATGAACGCTAACTGAAGGCAAAATTATGCGACATACGGTCCGTGGAAAAGAAAACAATAACTGCTTTATTACCTAGCTATGGTTACATAATCCCACTGTAGAACAATTTCCCAATACAGTCGGCCGCTCATATTGTATATATTACATACATTCTAAATACAAATGCTTAGCCTGGATTACTTTTTACTCATGCGATATCCAACTTGAGAAATCTCCTTAGTACTCAAATAAAGAATAAAGACGAGGCGCCGCGCATAAAGCTTCTTAAATAACCACGTGCATCTCAGAACCTTTGCGTGATTTAATCATACACGAAAAGTCGCCATCTTTGATTTTCGGAACCAACCAGAAAGCACCTTTCAACAAGAGATCATTTTTAAAACAAAAGAAACAATCGCAAAGGTTCATGGTTGCACGAAAGTCGTTTTAGGAACAATCATTGCTCTTATCGGCATAAGTAACAAATATCAAACTCTACTTAGAATCTGAACAGCAAGCAGAGAAGGGACAACAGTATGACATTGTACTATTGATGTAATTTTCATGTTGCCTTTTCATTTTGTGTTATAATGCTGTTCTATTTAACTGAAAATCTTTGAAACTTTGAATATATTTTATTAGTTTAATTGAAAAATTAATTTTGTATACATTTCAGAAAACGTTAAATACTCACTGAAAATAGTGAATTCCAAGACCGAAATGATTGTTGGTCGTTCAATCGTCACTGGAAAGGAGAGAGGTCCATAGCTAAGGGGAAGCACAGAATACGGGACATGGACCTCTCCATGGAAACAAAATGCCCACTAAAGGAGAACCAGTATTATTATTGACATGGAAAAGCCTATGCTTCCTGGAAAGGATTCAAAACAATTTCCCTACTTTTCCAACACAAATGGTACTGAAATTAAAACTGATTTAAAATACAAAAGTGTTTTCCAGACATTATTGAATATATATATGAGAAGTTGCAGCTGAAAAGGGGTCTTATTTGTAAATCTTTCGCTTTGGACTGCATATAAAACCGTTGCGTCATCAAAGGGGTCTTAGTCCTTAAGGCCGTTAACGCGTTACCATGTACGTTACCACCCAATTCAAATCCACTGGGAAAAAGAACTTTTGTTTCTAAGAATTTAACTGTGAAATAAAAATATGACGAACAATGAAAACGTATCCCGGRTGGTTTGAGTTGGGTGGAAACGTTTGTAGCAACGTGTTAGCCGATTAGGTCTATTTCGTTTTAGTGCAATCTATAATGAAATATCCATGTTATTGCACTGCTTTATATATCCGCAAAATTGTTTGCTAACAACATTATCTAAATTAGTACAAAAATCTTCTATTGATAAGTGCAATTGATAAGTGTATCACAGATAATTAATTCACACTACTTTCTTCACTCACATCAATTGTAACGTCCTCACCGATTAAGAAGAAAGGAGCCCAGTAATTAGGCTTACTGTAACGCTCTATGTCACGCATTTCCTTCATTGCTTGCTGAAGGCTTACGCTTGCTTTCTCTCCGCGCTTCAAGTGACCATAGAACTTTTCCATGAAGACTCTAGTGCCAAGGTCATCCACGGCCCATAGGGATGCGACTACAGCAAGCGCACCCGCTGCAAAGAAAGCTCGACTCATTCCAACTACACCCTCTGACTTGATTTCACCACGCCCACTGTAACAGCAACTCAATACGACTAGTTTAGCACGTAGACCAATCTCCTGCACTTCGTTGATAGTCAGTAAGTAGTCTTTTTCGTCTGGGACTTTTCCTGCTTCGAGCTGATCAATGTTTGGGCTGAGAACCCCCTCTTTCTGCATCACCATGTGCAGCAAAGTGAACCACTGCAACACCTTCTTGAAGTCGCGTCTTGATAGCCTGTTTGGTTGCTTGAGAGCCTATTGTCAGTAATAACAAAATCAAGAAAAAAGGTCAAAAATCTGCATTTTTCAACTTCTTTAAAGCACAAGTCATTTTTATCTTGAATGGGACATACTGCTGTTCAGTTCTCTAATACAAAAAAATTGATTTAAATTTATATCTTCTGATCTACCCTGCGAGCAGAGGATTTTTCCACCCCCTTTTGCGAAGAAAAGGAAAAATCAGGGTACTTCTGATCTAAGCATTTGAAATTCATTACTCATGCGCAGGAATATGGACGGGGCGTGAGCTATAAAATGCAACGTGTGTAGTTTTTTTCCGTATAAAGTTGACTTTCATAGACCTAATCGGCTTACGGCGTTGCTATGTACATTGCCACCCAATTCAAATCATGTGGGAAAAAGAACTTTTGTTTCTAAGAATTCAACWGTGAAATGAAAATAMAACRWRCARTGAAACTTWCTCCCGGKTKRTTTGAATTGGGTTGAAGCCGATTAGGTCTATTTCGACATCTCCCCGATCTTGCCGATCATATTCTTCCTAGTAGATATCATGTTGCCATGTCTATATATGCTTGCTATGATTTTATACCGTACTTCAACCGAAAACTACGAAGAAAGTTTAACGAGAGCCAGTTTTTATCAGTGCCTATAACTCAGAAAGTATAATTCTTCACAGAAACGCAACATGTCTACTTTTGATAAAAAAAAGTTGATGAAAATGAATCTCACCTCTTTAGTCCTTCACACAGTTGTTGATATAAGGAAAAACCGATAGAATGAAAGTATATTACCTGTCAATGGAGTCACTCCAAGAACTTCAGCAATTCTTTCCGCTTCTTGCCGCGCTTCGGGCAGTTGGCTGAAATACTTTTTCTTGTCTCCAAGCATTCTTTCACCAGTGACGTCGGGATCTCAAACGATGAGAGCACCTTTCGCTTTGTTATGAACATCCACTGAACGGGGTTCTTGCAGAATTTTCAATGTTTTGAGGGACGGAGCAAGTCGAATGCGCTTGTTTTCTGACAAGTACTTTTTCGTTCGTGGATTGCGTAAGGCTGCAAAAGGAACTTTGAACAGAGGTCCATCTGGAATGATGATGATTTCATCCCCTGTCATCGCCTTCTTCTTTAAGCTGCATGCTGATATTATGCCAACAAATACCTAACCTCAAACAGGCAGACGCTTTTACCAGCCTGTCGTCTCTTTGTAATGCGATTTGTAAACTTTTTTCGCAGTATTCTTGTGCTTCTTTGTATTTCTTCAAGAAAAGGTATGCTCTACCTATGTGTTCACGAGCTTTACTTTCTCCAACTGCATGCTTGATCTGTACAGAAATTTCTAGATCTTTCTTATGATTCTCCACAGCGACATCGTAATTTTTTTTCCTTTCGTAGCATTTTCCTAAGCCTCCATAGGCTCGTGCTTGTTGTTTTTTAAACCCTGTTAATTCTGCAATTCTCAAACTTGATTCAAAGTATTCGATAGCTTTATCGATAGCTTTATCTTCTCTCCCTTGAATTAAATAAATATTTCCTAACCTCTGCAGAACATCTGCTTGTGCAATTTTATCTTCAATGGTTTTGGTAATTTCTCGACATTCCTGAAAGTATGATTGTGCTTTTTGATATTTTCCCACGTATTGATAACAAATGCCGAGGTTTCTATTCACATCTCCTTCAAAGCGTCTGTCTCCAAGCTCTTTAGCAGCAACCAAGGCTCTCTTTTGATGCTCAATAGCTTCTTTGAACTGTCCGTTTGATAGACAATTCCTTCCTTCGTGGGCATAGGCTTTGGCTTCAGCATGTTTATCTTGGAGTTCTTTCGCGATATCTAAGTACTTCTGGTTATAACGTTTGAGGCAGTGTTTATCCCATGTAAAATAAGAACTGCTCAAGTTTCTGTAAGCCTCCATTTCACTATATGGATCGTGTAGCTCCTCAGCGATTTGCAATTGCCGCAATAAGTGTTCTTCAGCATCGGTCGGATTTCCAAGAATATTGCTGGCATTTCCAAGGCTTCCACGGGCCCTCCCTTCACCACGCTTATCACCTACCTCTACAGCGATGTCTAAAGCATGTTGGGCATATTTAAACGCTATTTGTAGATTTCCCATCTTTAAGTGTACATTTGACATGTTACAATAGCACTCCCCTTCTCCTTGTCTGTCGCCTATATCTCTAGCGATTTGAAGACTTCTTTCATGATTCTCAAGTGCCTTTTTGAAATCGGCCAATTTATCAAGAGCCCCACCCAGATTTGTGTAAGCACATCTTTCTCCATATTTGTCAGCTCTACCTTTGGCAATTTTCAAGCTTATTTTGTGGTATTCGATTGCTTTTTGATACTTGCTTAAGCCGTCATAGCAGCGGCCTAGGTTTGTACAAGCTAGCTGCTCCTCTTCTTTGTTACTATTTCTTCTAGCAATGACTCGATGTTCTTTGAAGTGTTGAATTGCTTCGTCAAAGTCTCTGCTCACGTAATACGCTTTTCCGAGATGAAAATACAATTTCATTTTCACCGTGTCGGAGTACTTGTACAACGGGGCTTTTTGAAGAATGCCTTCAACGTGTCTGATATCAATAAGAGTTCCCTTCTGATCCATCTTTTGTAACTCTTTAGTAATAAATGATCAAAATTAAATCTAGCTCAAGTAAACTGTTTACATTATTTTAACACTAAGAAGAATAAATAAACTAATTAGCATGTTATCTTATATGTGTTTATTTAAGATGGAGCAATTTTAGGAGACACCGACGGGTTCCTGGGAGAAATATCTCGTTCTTATCTCCAAGCTAACTGTAAGTCACAACTGGTTACCAGCGAGCCGAAATTCAGGAAAAAAGAACTCTCCAGCTAGGCAAGGAATAAAAATTCCTTAGGACAAAACAAAAAGTATTGTAATAACGCAGAAGTACATAACCAGAAATGCCCATCTCGCTAATATCGTCACCAAAAGATGTCCCGATAATCTATTTTTGGACAACCAATCACAACGCGCGCACATATTACACGGCACCTTATTGGTCCTTGTTGATCTACTTCAAGAGCGGACGAGAAAGGAAAATGTAGTCGATGGACGCGACAAAGTAAAGATTGAATTACGAGAATTTTACACCTTTTACAAATCAACCATTTCTGAATTTGATAGAAAACATACTTTTGTACTAACAACATTTTCTCGTGCTTTCTTTTGTGTTTGGTAAGTCATTTGCGTAATTGAATCTGCTGTCAAATAAATTAACAGCGGTTATTCGCTTTTAATATTAAAAAAAACTAATTATTTTTTTGTCTACCCTGCAATGATATCCGATGATAGCGAAGGAAACTTTGTTGTTTAAGTATAATAGTTGGTACATTTTGAATCTATTTTATTCATTTGCCCATTATTAACTACTGTAATTCTCAATACACCCAGTTAATTGAAATTGACTCACCTTCCAAAAGAGCAGCTTCTGAATCAATAACATCTGTACACATTTTTGCTTTCTTTCTTCCACTGTTTGGATCTATGATTATAGAATAATTATTGGTTGAAGTGTACACAGAACGCGTATTTCACTATAATGACTATAATGAGAACACAAAACACGGCTTTCAAACGAAGAGTTGTTGTTATTTTAAAAGCATTATTATTTTCCACGTCTTCCATTCTTTAAGAGAAAGAATGGAAACACGGCAGGTATCTTCTAATAAACGTTATGAATAAGTCATGTTTATAAAATGGATGCAGATTACATGTTCAAGTCTTTTCAACACTTGAAGATAAAATCCGTATTTCGTCGCTCTCATCAATAACATTGTAATTACTATTATCTACGTTGTATTAAATATATCTAAAATCTGATTGTTACAGGCTAACTAAATTTTCACAATCAAACAACCATCAGATTACCGCAACGGAAAATCAGTAGGTTGGGCTCGCAGTGCATTGCTGACCAAAGGCCGGTTAGGGGTAGGGGTAGGGGTATCATTTCATGAATTATTTTGCTACTTTTCTTTTCTAATGCAAGCTATATACAGCCATTTGCAAAAATTATGACAATTGTCTAAATATCTAAATATCATAATATCCATATCCATATATTGTCCGGAACACGAGGGTTTGCTAGAATAATTCATTGTTGACATCGAGAAAATGTCCAGAACTACGGATAAGTCTGTCGCCAAAAAAACTAAACAATAAAGACAAGGGACTAAGGCCATCGCGCGGGATCATGCACTTGATATTATGATATTTAGATATTTCAACAATTCTCATAATTTTTGCAAAAGGCTGTATATATATATATATATATATTCATAAAACAATAATTGAATTCGTTATACATAAATCCTCATCCAACTACTTGAAAGAAAGTTTGATTTCCTCGTTTTAATTTTGTGTAATTTTTTAATGTGTTCTTGGCATTGCCCAGTCAAATGGGGGAAAGACACCTCTAATCAGAGAAAGTATACTCACTTGTCACTTGGTGGTCAAATTGCGCACTATTCATCGTGGCTGATTGAAAAGGTTCTGGTGAAGCAAAAGAGAGAGATATCAAGTCATTGGACTTTGTTGAACCGTCTTCTGATCAAAGTGGCCTGCGGCCTTGAGGAGATTGGTAAGAAAGGGAACCGAGACGAAAAGCACCAACACGTTATGTAATAGGAATGAGCTCAAGTTACGTGAATGAAGCGGTAATTTGGTACAACTACATTATAAAAAGAGTATATAAAGAATTTTATAGAAGGAAAAATGCCTCGCCATACTACAGTCAACCCTAACCCATTATAACTGAAATTTGCCACAAATCATTTTAACTAAATACTTTTATTTTTAAGGATTGTCAAGATAGTATAACCTCAAACCCAACAATATTCTACTCGTCAGTCAAGCTGGCATTGTTTGATATGAAAGATCTTAATAGACTGGCCTTTATTCTAGATCGAAATAACTTGAGTCTACCAACAAGTACAAACTAAATAGTCATTTTTATTTCAATTTCAATTAAAAAAATATAATCACAGAAAGTACGGTATACTCACCGTAGTGGTCAGATTGCGCACTGCTCGCCATGGCGGATTGAAAAGGCTGGAAAAGAGAAATATCATATCAAGACATTGGACTTTGTTGAACCGTCTTAATATAGAGGCTTACGTTTTTTGAATGAGCTTTGATTACTGACTCGGTTCAATTGATGCAAACATGTCATAAGGAAAAACGCCTCGCCTCAATGATCACTACAGTCATTTTACCGCATCCTCAGAATAGCTGGAATTCCACCGAGAATAGCCTAGAGCTGTGGCTAAACATCTAAACATGCCTTTTGGCAACAAACTGTGAATGTACTCATTCCACCATTGTCAAAGTGTTGTAGTTTTTATACACTCGGTACGAATTTTGCCCAAAACACGGAATTTCCACAGAATTGCCGAGTATCACAATTTTTCGCATAACCAAATAATTACTTTAATAACAAATAATTAATTTAACCAAATAATTTCATCGAATGCTACGCTCACTCGTGTGAGATCTTTTCAACACTCGAAGATAAAATCCGTATCTCCGCTCGCCTATGTAATATCCCCTATTTATTCTAGATCGAAACACACTGGAAAAAAATCGCGCGCTTTAAAGGTTGTAAATTTGATGTATATATGATGTAAGTGTCCAAAATGATGGAAATGTGATGGAAATCATTTCCATCAAATTTACAGAATTTTGGACACTTACATCATATTTCCATCAAATTTACAACCTTTTAAAGTGAACGATTTTTTCCAGTGACAACTTGCGTTTAAGGGGATTGGGGAGGGACCGAAGGGAAAAGCACCTGCAAATTATTTGTACACACACTAAAAAATGACTTTTTTTCAATGTTTACTTCTTTTTACAACTATATAATGAACTTTAGATGTTCTATTTTCTTATAGGTTTACAATTTACACATTGAAGTCTATATAATATTTGATAGATTTATTATTTGTTATTTAGTTGTTATTTGTTTGTATGCTGTTGTATTTTGACATTTTGTATATCCTATGTATCGCCTGGTATTGAAAGGATTAAAGTTATTATTATTATCACTTTAGGAATGACTTACCTAGATGAAACTTCAGAACAATCTGTCTGGTACAACTGCGAAATAGAATTGAGTTGGCTTGAAGCGGTAAGCTACGATATATACAAGAGTAGAGGCGACTCACCTCAATGAGTTCTTCACATTTTACCACATTCTCGCAATAGCTGAATTTCTACCCAGAAAAGATGTGTGACGAAAACCGGAATCAGAAAATAATACAAAACAAAGGAACGGAAATAATGCCTAAGGACACTGCAGGAGCTAAAAGCATCTATCGGGGATTCAATTCACCTGAATTCAAGAAATATGTCTGTAGAAAAATGACATATTCTTGCTTCTTGTTAAGTTCAATAAGAATATTCAATCCCTGAGTTACTTTCGGAGTATGTCGTAAGCATGTATAGCTTGGAGTGCTTTAGCTCATAGCATAAGATATAAGACATGCCGAAAATCTGCATGGGAAGTAGATTCCTTGGCAGCGGGAATCCTGTGTTAAACAAAAAGTTGTCGGAAGGTAGTAGAAAGCGCCTCCGAGTCTCTCGACACCAGTTCTTCTCAAGATAAGCAACACAGGAATACCAAGAAGACAAACATTGAAAAACAGAACATTTGAACTTTAGTAAAAAATGATCTTAAAAGAAAGACTTGTCCTTTTATTGTATTCCTTTTTATGAAACTACATCATATGATCTCTTTCCCTGTGACAACAATTAGTTGCAAATAGTACAACAAAAGTTAAAAATAGGTGTGAAATTATGACAAGTCATTTCTTTACTGTCTGAGCAACATTATGTGTAGTAGTGTGATTAGCGTTTGTTGGCACGGATTTAGTAAATGAAAATCTTTTAGCAAAGAAAGCGTTATCAAGTGTTTGCAAACGGAATGTACCCGCAGTGTTGATGCTGTTATCACAATCTGCCTGTGTTATAAACTCATTATCATGTATGTAATAGTACGTAGAAGCGGATTATATCTGGTGTTGATTTCAGGGATGTTATTACAATTTGCTTGTGTTATACATATGCATAGAAGCGGATTATGTCCTGTCATCGCGGGATATGTTTATAACCTACCATCATCCTCCCGTTAAACATTCTCTTGCATCTTCCAATATTTCTTTATGCCTCTTTTTGGCTATGCCAGTCGAGTATTGCATGACATGCACCATTTAGGATTGTTATCTTACAATATATATATCTACGGGCGCACACTAGATTGCATATTCCCAATATATAATGCTTCTATCTTCTGATTATTATTTTTTTCATTTTCCCATTACTTCCTTTACTGTTTTTCTTCATCAGAAAGATATGTTTCGGCAACTGGCCTTCATTTGTTTTGTTTTCGTCTTGTTCTCTTTTTCAACCTTTTTTCTTAGGTTTCTAGTTCCTTTTTGGTGGGAGAAGGGGGAAGAGGTGAGGGGGAAGAAGGGGAGAGGGCGAAGGGGGGAAAACATCGTTTGATGATCCAGTCTGTTCTAATGTTCTTTACATGATTGCTTCCTCAACCCTTCTCCAATGTTGGCAGTTTACCGAGCTTCTAATTAACCAGTTTCATCTTCGTGGTCCCTAGGAATTTCCCCTTGGAATTTCACCGGGATATGGTTAACCGTTCAGACTAGACACACCCTAGTTCTATTGTTTTATGTGGGTTTTAAAACTATAGAAATAATAACTCGAGACAGAATTGCTAGACTTCGCTTCCTTTCACTTTAAAATTCAATTGCGTTTTATTGGCATGCAAATTMATGAGGTTTTATACATGCTTGAAATTCGAGTTAAAACTTGAGGACTCAGTGTGAGACGCTTAGAGTTTGTGTACACAAAAAGTAATCAAATATTCATGAATTATCCCGTTCTTGGGAGCTCGTATTATAGCCCTTTACGCGGTTAGAACAAGTTGCGCGAGGGAGCTGTGTCAGCGAGGCAGAATCGTGCAAAGCAAAAATAGTCCCTTTGAGCTTCATGCTTACCCATCTTTTAAGCAATATATTGCGAAAATATTTTTTATTGGTAGAAAAGTCATATTTTTAACACGGCTTGGTTGTTTATTTGTGGACTGCAGCAAACGTGTTGCCCGCTTTGTTTAGAAAAGAGAATCTAGTGAGAATCTGCGTTTGAAAATGCCAYTGTCAATTTGTCAATAAATAATATCCGGGGGAGGGGAGGAGATAGGTGGTGGAAGAATCAGTGTCCTGATCAGTTCCTGCAGAAAGTTACAAAATGTGTTGGCAAACTAAGACAAAATATCAAATGGATAGATTAGGGCTATTAGGGCTATTATTATTGTTTTTCAATTAAGTCCTCGGATTATTTTTCTTATTTTATTCATTAAAAGAGAAGTCATAAATCCGTGAATCAAAATTTGACTGATGGAGAGTGATAGTCAAATAGACGCGAAAGGGAACAATGCAATTGTACCAAATAGACGCGAAAGGGAACAATGCAATTGTACCAAAGTTAATTAGTATATTCTCACGGATTTTCAACTCTAGGTCACATTTTCTATTTCAGTACATTTCTTAAAAAACTCTCATTCCCTCGGGTACTTTACCTGGACAGTATGTTTTTCAAGGCTTAATTTAAGTGAAGAAGAGAAACCCTATCAACGTTCCCTCCCTCCCTCCCCTCCATCCATCTAATACAATATCACATCACATGGTTCGTAAGATAATTAGGATTTGAAAAACCATTATAATATGAGGGGGTTGGCTGCTTAATCCCACATTCTCTACCCCCAGATTAGCTGTTGTGAACTAAAGCTTTATCTCGTTGATTCTAGATGGATATCATACTGATCAACACAGCCAATTGCCGCTTTGATTTGCATTTAACTATTGTGTTCATTGTTTATATTTCGATAATAATACAATAAAGACTTGGCCAAAGTCCATTTACAATTCAATCTTCAAAGAGTGATTCTTTTGTGATGAGAATTAAACAAAAGCTTATTCAAATTACAGCATTAGCTACGTACACGGTTTTAGCATTTTGAAAAGACTTGTGGAAAAATGAATGGCATTAAATCTTTAGCACTCGAGGTTTTTGACGACAGCAGAACCGGAAATCAGTCCTTCAAGCGAACGATTCTTTCAACAAGTCGCAAAACCCACGTAAACTGGATCATACGACGTGCTCGATAAAAACCGAAAAAAATAAACAAAAATAAACATTAATCAATCACAACTATTCTACATTGCACTTACAAATCAAATATATGTATTTACAAAGCTACTATATATACTTCCTGTAGTATAATGTGTGATGTCAACCCATGGGCTTACACATTGTTCTATAGATTCTGTCACAAATGATCAATCAAATATAATGCTTTCTAAAAACGGAATAAAAACCAGCGTGGAATATTATAAATTGTGCCCCTGGCCCTGACCTTATAAACAATTGATTTGTAATTACATAGATATATACATTGTTGGTCTATATTGGTACAATATTTAGTCAAAAGTAAACCTATACGTTGTTTTCTTATTATTATACAAAGTTTCTTTCTTAGTGCTTAAAGCTATTGCAGCATTTACTGAACCACGTTTTCAGGTGTTTTTTGACGCATTGTTTCTCAATGCGACGCACAAAGCGAATGGTCCGCTTCGAAGGTTTTCGAATTTCGAATTTCATCTTTCTTCGATGTACCATATTCATGTATTGAAATGCAAAACGCTTGTCAATTTTACATCTCCAGCCTGTTATATAAGCTCTTTCGCCTAACTTACAGCATCTCCGCTCTTCTCTTGACATACCATACTTTCGCCGCTGAAATCGTGTAGTTTGATGAGAGACAGCGGTTGAAGTAGCAGTGGTTGGAGTCGATGTGAGTATAGAATTCACTTCACTGGTTGGAGTTGGTTCTTGACGATTCACAACAGCAATAGATTCTGCAATAGATAAAATCCTTTGATTTAATTTTCCTTCATGCTGTGGGTTTTCAGTAAAGCAGTGCTATTTTTATCTTTTTATTTAAGTAATTCACTCAAGGGTAAATTGTAGCAAGATCGATTATGAAAGTCTGTTGGAATGCAGTATTGAGTTCAATTAGCAGCAAATCATTGCGTTATTAAACACTCGTCACCTATTTTAAAAGACTTTTAGAACTGATTCAGTAGCAATAGAAATTCTTTTAAAGCAAAAGGACAATCTGCAATCATTTTAAATAAGTCATTGGCATCTTTTGGCAGCTAACTTGATTTGTCACGCAGCAAAACTCGCGATATAAATTAAGTACAGTAAAAACCTGGACACCTAATAAAACGCATTAGAGAACTTCTATGAAATACCTTTGCTTTTGGCATCAGAGACGAGAAACATCCCACACAGTATCACAAGCAAAAGGGCGAATGGCATCTTCATGGCGTAATTAAATCCCTTACAGTTTCTCAATGACGGAATTACATGTATTTTGGTAGTAAATCGGCGTATCTTCTTTATAACGTCTTGCTCTAAGTTAACCACCACCTTATAACTGTAACAACTGGTTGAACACGACGAGCGAGCTCTTCAACACACACTGTCCGTATTTACATGCGTCACTAGTCTTTATTGTGTGATATCATAACACAGGGATAATGCTTTACAGGGGGGAGGGGTCAGGAGTTTGAAGAATAACCTGTACTTATCTCTAGAGGAAACTGTTTATCGACCTTGGGAAATCATAAGTGTTTTGCTTGCTAAAATAAAATGTATTTTACCCGATAAGACTTAGATCAGTCGAAAATATAGAGATTTGTGTGATTCAAGCTTTATTTTGGTGATTCATCGATTGACTATTAAGGGCCGGGCGAGTCGATGACAGGTCTAATACTTCAAATTGCTTATGGAATGCGAACTATCACGTGACGTTCGTCCTTTGGCAGCTCTCCCAAGCAGACTCATCACGGACGAACCTCGTGTGTTGCAATATATTTTGAGCTTTCTGCTATCCGCCTAACCATTTCACCATACCATTATATGACATGTAAATGTGAGATCGCCATCAGTAAGATATACATTTATAGAGTGAGTGGTCTGAAACCAGGTGTAAGCGATGAAGTGCCAAACGCAGTTCGACATCCTGTGGAAGTCATCTTCAGTCACTGACTTCCACGCAGGATGTCGAAACGTCGGGTAACTGTAACACACTTCTCACAACCGGGCGAATAATACACCTACATCAGTACAATACTACCGATATTTCGAACGCATTCTCATTCATTTCTTTTTCCGTTAAAAGTCAGTCTAGTCACTCTATTTCTATTATTTTAACTTTTCCAAATATTTTATAGTTAGCTTCATTTTTCACATAACAACATAAGTTAATTTTCATTATTTCATCATGAACGATATCCTAACGACGTCAGACTGTCCATGTATTCAGTATTTCTTTCTTTCTTTTTTTTTCATCTCTCCCTCTTTTTCCTTCCATCGCTCTCAATTTTCATCTTTTCATTCATTCTACTTATTATTCTTTAGCAGCATAAATGCGTATTCACCTAACTCTCTTTGAACGACCACTCTAGTAAGCGACCATTTCCCGTAAGCGACCACCTTTTAAATTTCGCGTTTTGTTCAGTTTCCCATACAAACTCTGTATTAAGCAAAACTTTCTCGTAAGCGACCATCTCGTAAACGACCACATTTTCCTGATCCCGAGGTGGTCGCTTACGAGAGAGTTGACTGTATTAGGATGAAGAGAATGACGATTCCCTGGCGTTTCTGTAGACAGCGAAAGCTTGGAATCACATAGTTAATACGATTTTACAAATAATAGCGAAGGCTTAATTTGATAATATCCTTTTAATCTTCTCTTCTCGCCCTTTCCCCCCATTGATTCGTTATCTATATGAATCAGATATTTGTTATCGCATGAATATAATATAAAGAAGTAACTATTGACAAGGAGGTGCTTCCTGTATCGTCTGACTTTCCATCAAACAGGAAAAAAACAAAGACTAATAAAAACAAAGGTCTTCATGGGCTGTCAAACTGTGGAAATGACTGAACTACCCGATTGTACCGTCGGATCGGTTAAATGAAAAAAAGAAAGCAAGGTGCTAGCTCTACGGAACAATAAACCCCATGTCATTTCTGACATAGCGACATCAGTTCACAGGCTATTTGAGAAAATGTGGAATACTGCATTCTGGACTTCACAGTTTATTCAAAGACAATTGCATTCACAAAATGCCGTTTTCATAATGCTCTCCACTGACGTTTATGGATGTACAGAGCAGATTTCGCATGACTGTGCAACGTCATGGATCATAATTCTTAGCGTCGAAACAATAGAAATATTTTTATGTGACGTCATAATGCAAAAGGGCATTTGATTTGCTTTAATACTCTTATTTCGAGTTCTGGTTTGCTCTGTGTTAGCCTCAAAACCAAGTAACATATTCTTTTGTTTTATTGATAGCCYGAGAAAATGCATGGAATTTGTGAAGAAAAACTCAATCAACTCAATCTCACACTTTTATTCTCACAATTAGGAATAWTTTGCGCACAAATGAGGCTAACACAGAGCACTGGAGAATTCGAAACTGGATTATTCTGTTCATATTCTATATCTAAGCGCGCATGCGTTGTTATTCCCTCCATTATGGGGTCGATAGATGTCTAGATTCGTTTTCTCGTGACAAGCTCATGACATGTAGATCACTTAGCACGGCCGACGGGAGCCCTGTGCTTATAGTCCACAGGCAAATTGCGGAAGTAACCTGTACAAATTGCCTGTAAACATTCGAAATCAAATTCAAAATGCCTGTTGGCGAAGCAATTCAGCTGGCTGGTTTCATCCTCAATGCAAGTAGTAAAGGATTATCTGTGCTATCCTCTTTAAAGAAGAGACAAGAAGCAGCACAGCAAAGTAAAAAGTCACGGAGGCAATTTTTGATATCTCTCTTGCAGCAGTCAGCCTTGTCCATTCAACTAGGCGTAGAGCTCCTACTCGAGTACATGTATTCTTCTGGCGAAGAGTCCCAGAACTATGAAGCTGATGAATGGTGTAGACTTCTTGGTAATGCTAGTCTTTCGGCGGGAGCAACATTTGAAAGTCATGTCCCAGATGTTCTTTGGTCACTTAAAGGGGTAATACCAGATATAATAAATCGTATCGTTGACGAATCAAATGAAAAAGTTGCAAAAGCTAAAGAATTCTTTCGAGTTGCAAGCTTATTGGCGTCGGCTGTGTTTGAAGATTTCGGAAGGTCGCTCGATTATTTCGTGATTTTCTGTATGGCGTCAAGCTTGAAGTTGTGTGCTACGGTGTTGTTTCGCTTTCCAACCAATCGTGATCTGTTAACAATGGAGATAGTGAATACAATTCTCCAGCTTGAAGAACGTAGAGTTCCTATTCCAAAACAATCGTTGCTTTTCCGAGGCAAAGCTGAGATGGATGCAAAGTTCATTAGAAAATCTATTTTCTGTATGTTTGTTCTGGTCAGTCGTTTAGCTGCTCATTGCGGATCACACAACCAAGCAAGAATTCAAGGTATTCTTGACAATAGCCGTGCTTTGGGCGTGGGGACTTTAATTGAATGGAACTCATTTAAACGAGGTGAGAACTATATAAAGAATCGCTAATAATGTTTTTGCAGATATAAAGGTTCATGCATGTAACTAAATAGGCTAATTTTCATGATTTGATAATGTCCTGAATTCCAAATGAACGCATGTCATGTACGCATTCAGATTACTGTCTCTGTGCACGTTTTTGTATTCATGGCCGATTTCCCAGTAAAAATTAGGATTTAATAAAATCCTCTTCCATTTCCAGAGCAGCAAACCTCATTTGGCCAACAAGGTGTGAGTGCCAATGACTTGGATGGAATTTCTGCCATAGCAGTAAACAGCAAAGGTCAATTAATTGTAGCAGAGCACGAGAACAGACGAATCAAGACTCTAAACGAAGAGGGGCAATGCCTGTTTATCTTTGAAAACCCAACCATTAATGACCAAAACGTAATTGGCCAACCAGTTGCCATGACAATAGACAAGAATGACAACGTGTTTGTGTTGATGACAAGAATGCGTGATTATTTCATCGTCAAATACGACCCCGAAGGGAAAGTGGTCACATGGTTTGAAATGAAACAGGGTTTCACTGATGATCCTGCAAGGGTTTGTGGTATGGCTATCAACTCCCAAGGTTTGTTGAAATTACGTTGTTGATGATGCGAAATCCATGATGCACTTGACCATCAGAATTCTTCAGTACTTATAAAGTAATAAACATATGCATGAATTACCTTTTTGGGGAGATTCATTTCTCCTACACTAATGTCTCTGGCTCTCCCACTCCCTCTATTTTAATTTGTCCCCCATCCCAGAGACTTTAGAGGCATTCCTCTAAACTTTGTCCCTCAAATGGTATGTATAGGAAGAGTTCCTGGATACAGTCAATTGAAGATATTCTGACCGCTAAATCATATAAGATTGGATATATGATAATGATATGTATTATATATGTTATATTACAAGTCAGTTTTTGAAAATGACTGAAATTAGAGTGGCAATTAACTTGATCACAATTTTTTACGACTCGTAGGTGCCATTTTCCTTGGCGAAGCTGTAAGCAGCCGTATATGTGTATTTGAAATGCTTGACAACGATTTGGCACTCCGTTCGTCAATCCCACTGAAAAGTGAATTTTCATTTTGTGTCGATACTTATGACAACCTCTACATCTCGCAAAAAGATGTGTTGCACATTTTCAAGAGAGCAGAAGAGGTACCCAATGGCTTCCATATGAAGTTTGAAAGGAAAGGTATATTAAGAGATGCGAGGCTTAGGAAGGGAGGAATCATTTTTGCACTTGCAATGGATAGTTATTTTCAACACGTACTGGTCTTGACCAATGGGAAGAAGACAAAAATGGGTCCAATACTTTGGTTTCTTGACAGGGAATCAGGTGCAGTCAAAGGAATCCATCGTTTTCCTCTGATTGCCGATCAGAATATTTGCATAGCTTCGTGGAAGAGAACTTTGTATTGGGTAACTAAGGAAGCGAGTGTCATCAATCGCATCACAACACTGGAGCAAGCCATGTATAGCTACTAGTACGGCTCATCGGGCAGAAGCGTGTGAGCATTCGGCACCGCCTCGTCATAGAGGTACTCTTGCTTTCTCTTCAGAACTGGGCCACCAACGCCAGGGTAAAAACTATTTTTAAAAAGGATTTTTTTTCAGGTCAACTTTCTCCAATTAACTTCTTCAACAACCTAGAACAAATGCATTTACTGCAAAGAAAAACATTTAGCTGATTTGTAAATTTGGTAATATTTTTGGTTAACTTTTAATATTTTACAAATTTGGAATTAATGAAGTACATGTGTTTGGTACTATATGTATATGATCATACAAGTAAAGTTAGCGTAGGCAAGGAAAAAATAGAGACGAAGATAGAAGTGGTTATTAAGTAATGGTCCGAGTAAGAAGCAGGCAAGCAAACGGCAATGGAATGCATGAAGGTGCTAATTATGTATTGTATAATCCATCCATCTCATTGGTTAAAACATTAAAATCTGACATATTTTCAAAAGTAATCGCATTTTTTAACATTTTATTTAATRTCTGATTCTAACTTCATAAAAGCTTTCCTTATCTTTAATATTAATAGCAATTCTATGTGGGGAACATAGCAAATTGGAAGCATCTTTTGGCTATTGTTTTGAGTGCTTATGATTGGACAAGATCTTTTAATACAAAAGAAACTTTGTTTCAAAGCAGAGTTTATCCACATTTTATTTTAAAAATGTTTTACCCATAGGTTGATATATAATCAGTGTGAAAACCAAGACATTCGTATGTGAGGAAGTTGCAATTGCCACAGAACAATAGAAGGTTGCCTGCTTTTTGCGCACATTGTTACTTAATACACAATTATTATTTTTTATCTGAATGGTATCGAGTCAAAAGTATAGCACGAAAAGTTGTTATTTGGCGGTCACATACAAGATGGGCGTGTTTACGTGTTTTTGTGAGGGGAAAGGGAATCTGAGGGGAAAGGGAATCTGAGGGGAGAGGGAGATCGGAGGGGAGAGGGGAGAGGGGGATCTCATTTTTGTTTTGCGGATTCAAGACTGTCAAGAATTAATGGCATTGACTGCAAAATTGCACGAGTTTGCTTTGAATTCACACCGAAGTAACTATTGGACTCCAAAAATGTGTTACCCTTTTGATTTGGCAAACAGTCAAACAATCGATTACAATCACAACACACAAAGCAGGGGCGGATCTAGCATTTTTACTGACTAGTTTCCAACTCGAAAAATGTTGTATTGACATATGCTAATTAATTAAAACATGAATATTCATTACGTCGGTCCAAATAATTTAAGTAATGCCCCGAGTAAGAACTAGGGAAGCAAACGGCATAGGAATGCAAAAAGGTGCTAATTGTGCATTGTATAATCCATCCATCCCATTGGTTAAAACATGAAAATCTGCTATAATTTCACAAGTTAGGGAATTTTCTAATATTTTATTTAATGTCTGTTTTCGCTTTCATGGAAGCATTCTTTAGCTTCAATATTAAGGCAATTCTATGTGGGGAACATTGCAAATTAGAAGCATCTTTTGGCTATTGTTTTGAGTGCTTATGATTGGATAAGAGCTTTTAATACAAAAGAAACTTTGTTTCAAAATAGAGTTTATCCACATTTTATTTCAAAAATGTGTTACCCACAGGTTAATACATAATCAGTGTGAAAACCAAGACATTCGTACATGGGGAACTTGCTATGCCGCAGAACAATAGAGAGTTCCCTAGTTCTTTAGCGCATTGTTACTTAACTGCCTGCAAAATGATGCGATTCTAATAAACTGATTTAAAAGGCTGAATCAGCCAATTTTTAAACATAACCTAACTTAAGTTACACAGAGACGACAATGCGCGGTAGATTACACTAGCGACCTGCAGTAGCTACCGAATTCCAGGAATTGTATTTCGAGTTTACTGTAAATTATCAATTCTTAACTGTGTATAATGTGTAACTTATTTGGTTCAAGTGTTTTCATTGTTTTGAATCACCTTGCCATTAATTTCAATACATACCAAGCACGAAGAATGTTCACATGAAGTCAAATCAGTCGGCGATTCCAATGTATGGGAACTTTCCTTGAACGGTTTCACGAGTGGCTTGACCACATTCCGGCACAAAAATAACACATTCAAACAGTTTTGGAAGCAATTGTGGCCTCAATCCTTTTTCGATTTGCTTAGAATTGTTATAGGTAATTATTTCAAACAATTTCCCTCAAGATCCGTTGCTAACTGAA